GTGTGCTGATGTGACTCCTAAAACTGCATATGAATCATGTCTTTGAGCTGGTGCCAGGTAAAATATCGTTGTAGAATTAAAATAAAAAATTCTAATGCACTGGCTAGAAAAAGTTGAGGTTTTTCTTTCCTGAAGGAAATTTGAATATTAATTGATTTTCTTCTGTCAAAAGCAGAACAGCTGAAAACTGATGGATTTTGGCTTAAGTAAATGTCAAAAGAAATGAATGTTTTACTAAATTGTTTCATTTTTAATGTGTCATATTTTATAGGGAGAAGTTCTTAGTCAAACAAGAAAAATTAAATTTTTACAGAACAGTAGCCAAAATAATATTTTTCTACTTAAAAAGTTGATAAAGTAATTTTTGTCAGTTTTAATGTTGCAACCTATTTATAATGAAACACTTAGTAAATGCACTACTGCCTTGTTAACTTGAGTCTTTTTGCCTAAGAATAGTGTTTCTTATTCTCTTTCCTTTTAATCCATTTCTTATGTTGTATGAATCCATCCAATATGGCTGGTTGGTTTTTTCCTAAGACAAGAGTTTTCAGATGAATGAGGGCACATTAATGTGAATGGGACTTCATGCTTGATGAGATGATAAAGTGTGGATTAATTCGCTTCTTTCTGGTACTTCAATCAAAATGTTGCAGTGATGAAAAAATAACAAATTTTTATGAAGCTATACATTTTTTGACATTATAAAGTACACTAAAGTGCATTTTGAAATGAGATGTGTGTGACAGAAAATTGAAAAAAATTCTGAAACAGCAAAAGCCATATTATTATTCCCATAGAACTTGAGAAATTTGTGAATGAGGTTGGTGAAGATGAATAATGCCTGAAGATACAAGGGATTGCCCATACTGCAGAACTGTAGAATTACACACATACAAGGTTGGAAAGGACACTTGAAGTTCATCTAATGAACTTTGCTGCTTAAAGAAGGGCTAACTTGATTATCAAAGAAGTTGTTTCTGGTACTAAACCAGGTGGCCGTAAATTTCTGTAGATCCTTGCTTTCAAGAAAAAAGCATTTCCTGCTCATAAATAAGTCCTTTATAAAATCCATTGGTCTAACTTTTTTCTGGATTGACCCACTGCCCTGACATGCTTAAGTAGAAAGGTCCTTTTTTGTGTCCAAAAGATTCAGTGTTTAACTGAACCTTATAAACCACAAAGAAGTGAATTTACCCAGGATTGGTTTGGTTTTGTTTTAAACACGACATTATTTCAGTAGATATGATTCTGTACAGATGTGCACTCCAAAGCAAATGGGATATATTTTCCATACCAAAGATACATGCAAAGACATAGAACAAAATTCAGTGGCTGTGGAAATGTGTCTGTCAAGTAAAAAAAGCTATTCTTCTTTTTCACTGATGTATTAGATTAACACTGGTCAAGCAGATGGGACTCCTGGACTTGACCTTAATGTAGCTGAAGCATGGGAGCTGGGATACACAGGGAAGGGAGTAACCATAGGAATTATGGATGATGGTAAGTGAAGACTGAGTGCTAATTTAGTATTTTGAAGTAGCTTTTTCCATGTAATCAAGGTCAAAAAAAGATTAAAAAAGTAATAATGGATTGCTTATAGTGGTGAGACTACCAGCCTCCATAAAGACTTTGAGATCTTCAGGGAAAATATGTTATGAAGTCTTCACTAGGGATACTGAAGCATGGATATCCAAGCATTAAAAGGAGTTTGCAATTATCACTCAGATATCTTCCAGGGCACATTATAATGGCCATTAAGCCAAAGGAAACACTCCCCTTGACTTCTGTAGGCACTGACTGGGGGACGTAATTGCTGTGCAAAACGTACTTAAGGAAACGTTTTCTAGGTTACATTATTCTCAAAGTCATACTTGACAGCTGAAATAATGAAACACTTTCATGCTGAATGTCAATAAAGACCTACATATTAAATATATTACTAATTTGAGGCTAAGTTCAGGGAAGATGAAGATAAAAGGTACAGTTAAAGTCACAGCTGTTCTACCCATGGATTCCTTGCTGAAGTACAGGAATTCTGTTGCAGTCTCTCAATACTTTTCTTTGGGCTAAGTTCTGAATGTCTTCCTTTTATGGTGATGGAATAATATTAAAATTAAATAAAATGTCTGGATCCACAGATCCACAGATCTGTCCTCACTTATTTCTCTTCCTTATCTGCTTACTCCTAAGACATGTTTTTTGTGGAAGTAAGAAAGTAGACCTCTGTATATTGGTGTCATGAGAAATCACAATTTCACTTGTCCTACAGAGGCAGGACTTATCTTTCAGAATAGGTAGGCACGACTGTGATGGGGATGATGACAAACTATTTGAGCTTCAGGTCAAATAAAGCTGTTGGCCCATCAGATACAGCTTTTAGAGAAAGGGGTAGTTTGCCTTATATTCACTTCCAGTAACTCTGGAAGAGAGCACCTGAATAACAGGATTCTCCATTGAGACTTCCATTGCTCATCTACTATTTGTGTCAGTAAGACTCTCCACAGGTGCAAGGGTCTCTTCATGCAAATCTAGTGCTAAGGACCCTACATAACAAGAGGTAGTCGTTTCATCAGAATAACTGCAGTAATACACCATTCTCCTTGCAGATAAAAGTGAGCATGAGTTGGTTGGAGATATGGGGCAGAGTAATGATCAAAATGTAACATGAGATTTGTGGCCACTTCTTTGTATATTTTTAATTGGATACGTAATAGCTCAGCTTATGCCATTTAAATGTAGATGTGCTGCTTCTACACCATCCACTGGAATTTGTATATTTGTCATATGTGTGTTAGTATATTCCGCACCACTGCCCTGTTACCATCTTTAGCACGCTACAAAGGTGCAGAGCCGATGCTCAGATATTTGCTAAGATAGGCTAATCCAACATTAACAAGTTCTCCCTCGTACACATAATCCAAAGTGTTTGCCTTAGTGGTCTCCTCAGGTCTAGTTTGGGTAATTTTCTGTCTACTTAGTTTACAATTTTCAGTGGTTAAAAATACTCCTGTACAAATATCCTGTACAAATCCAGTGCTTATTGATCTTGTTAGTTTTGGCATGCTTTGAGATGATAGAACTTGTATAAAGATAAACTGTGATTTAAACTAATCCTAATAAGTAAATATGATCTAGTGTGCAAAACAAGTCAATAAATTGTGTCACTGAGCTCACCTTTTTGATTGGCACCTGGATTATGACTTAAATGATTGAAAACTCCTGGCTGGGTCTGCATCAGAAATGGTACAGCAGTTTAAAAGTCCACATTTAAAATCTGGAGTCTCACTTCAACCAGTTGCATTATTCACTATGATCATTTTCTGTGGTTGCAAAGGAATCTTGTTCTGTGATCGTCAGAAAATCTTTTTGAAACTCTTAACCTTTGGTTTCTGTTCTGTCGTTATCTTATTGCAGGAATTGATTATCTGCATCCTGATCTTGCATCAAATTACGTAAGTACATGCTGACCTTTTCTGTAAAATGTGGATTTTCTTATTGTTATAGTCCCTCTGCTACAAAATTTTAAATAATGAGTGGAACAACAGCACAGCTGAACTGCTGATCTACAGATGATACATTTCACATAGAAAGAAGCAGACTAAAAATGGGACTGCCTGTGCAGGGAATGGAAAGGTGACAAGGCTCTTTGTGGAGGACTGACAGTGCTGCCTCACATTAAATAAGCTGCAGCTTGCAATATTGGATTTAGGACAGAAATGAGTAACCTGGGAATTGGCTCTAAATCCAGCTATTAAGATGCAGAATGCACCTGTCACTTGGAGGGCCACGGAGCTGTGGGCCGTGGCAAGGCATGTATTAGCCTTTGAAACCTCCAGGAACAGCTTAATTCCTTTCAAACAGGTGATTTGATCCAGTGCTTCAACGCACGTGCAGAGCAGATTGTATATTCTCAGCACACACGGTGTCCATTGATTGTTCCTCAAACCTACCTTAGGCTTCAGACCTATGGACTAGAGCATTTTTGTCTGTCTTAATTCTTCCAGGCTCTCCCCAGCCCCCCGTTGACACTAGCAGTCGTATCTCCAGGCACCTACAAGGGCTCCCAGCACCCATGGACTGTAGGTTGCCTTTGCAGTACGTGGCTCTTGTGCTGTGCTTGTGGCAGTCCCGTGGGCAATGGGCATCAGGAAGATGTGGCTCCTTGCCGAGGGGGTTCCGGTGTCTCTGCTTTGGGTCTTGCTATTCTCCTGCAGTCAGTGGCCTCCTGAGGGAAGCCTGGACTTCTTCAGCTGAGCAATGTGGTTTATTTTGCAATTGCAATTAAATGAAAAGAAGAACGAAGACAACTGGGAATTTTGGTAAAAACATGAGCTGTTCAGTTAGAACAGCTCCAAAATGAGAAAAGAGCAAGACAGTTATTTTTACGTACTTGGTAGCGAATAAATAGATATAGAAGGTGTTTACTTTGGACAAGGAATTTGGGAAATAGCTGACAACAGAGGTAAAGTACAGGATAGCCGGTTTCACTCCTTATGAACTGGCTTAATAACTTGATAGCAGCTAATTAAATCCTGTGCCCTAACTGCAAAATTCTCACTCAAGAGAAATAACTCAGTAGAATGTTTTCATAAATTGATACAAATAAAGAAGTTAGTAAAAGCCCTTTTTTTTACAGGAATTGTGCTCTGTGTATATGTTTTAGCATATGATCTGGGGACAGCACGGGCTCTTTACTCACTTTTCAGCAGCAGGCATGGGCAAAGTATGTAGGAATATGCAAATATCCTAGTTCTAAAAACCATGTTTCAAACAAACAAAAAGTCTGTACATCATATCTGATATAATGTCAAATAGGAACAGTTCTGTTGTTAACAGTGAATCTAGGATCATGCCCAGAAACCAAAAATAGATTTCTTAGTAATACAGTGCTTTCTCTTTTAATTCTAAAAATATTTTCTGTTTGATGGAGAAATATTTGTCAGGCTTAGCAGAAATGTATTGGTTTTACAGTGGTAATAGTGAGCATTCTAGAAATTAATGGAAAATGACATAGAGAATGACAATGCACAGACATGATGAAATCAGAAAATAGTGGTGCCAGAGAGAAGTCTGAGATCTCAGAAAAGAAATATTGGGATGAAAATTGGAAAAGAAAAGCTGTCTGGGAATGGGGAAAACAAACCTTTAATGGCAGTTATGAACGACTTGTGTAGAGACTGATCTTGAGATGACAATCTGAAAAAATCTGTGTAGGAATGTCTTTGTCCAAGCAAAGAGCAGTCCTGTAGTGGAGCAATGATCAGGCTATCGAGGGACAAAAGAAGATTGTCTGGCCAATGCAAAATGCAGGGCTAGGTCTGGCTTGTGCAGGGTAGATCAATAGCCAGATACGGAGGAGAAAAGATTGAGGAGCAAGTCGTTGGTAAGACAAATAATCATTGAAGGAGCAGCAGAAAACCCATCTGAAAGATCACAGTCTTAGAGGAGATACCACCCCAATGCTTTTCATACAGAAATACAAAAATATGAGCTATCAAATTAAATCTGTGATTCTTGGCTGGCCCAGCACTGAGCAAAAAAATTAAAAAAAAGCTTGAGTTTATATAATTCAGCTTTCTTGCCTAAGGTTCACTTTTAATTCTGTGCTGAATATACCAGAGGACACATCAAGGAAATGTGCTGATAAATTACCACGTTATATGCAAGGTAACCAGTAAAAGGATAAACTGGGTAACCAGTAAAAGGTGCTGGCACCTTGTCGTGCAGAGCCACTGCAGTTGCTGTGTCTGAGAGGTGGCAGCCTGACGGGCAAGGCTAACTCCTGCTCCTGCTGCTAAAATCTGCCGTCTCCTCCCTCGCCCGAGGACAGCACAGCGGTTGCAGGGCTCGGTTCACCTGCCCTTTGCCTCTCCTCCTCTGGCTGCAAGGCTGCGCAGGCCTCCTTGAGGCCTAGGAGATCCTGCTCTGACAGCATCTGCTGTGTCTCAGAGACCATGGGGGCCTTTTTTCCCTGTAGGTAGTAATTTGGGCGTGAACTGCAGATAAGGACTTAAAGTCAGCTGAAGGAAAGATCAGTTTAGACATAAAAATGCAATGAAATGAGTCTCTTAAGGAATGAGTTGTTAACTCACATCGGGCTGGCATAGCAATTGCAATCACCTTTGTACAATTCCTGTACCACACGTTTGGTGTTTCATGACTTTTGCACTTTGGGGCAGCTTTCTCTTAAGTTAGATTGTTTATTTTTAGGAAATTAAAAGCCTACAGCTTATGTTACTCAAGTGTGCTAAATGCCTGTATACCCTGGCAGTGTGTGTACATCTTGCTTGGAAAATTGGGAGCAATTAGAAAGTCTCTCAAAGGTGATGTTTTTTGGCACTTGAGCATTTACAAGTGTAGAAAACTTGGCATTGGTTACTCAGTTAAATTTGGCTTTTATGTTTTTGACTTGCTGGTTTTCTTGCTTGAATAGTTTAATGAGGCTTGGCACTTAGAGAAAATGGAGGGTCAGGGAAAAGCAAGAGCTTTCTAAAGAAAAAAACAATTTGTATTTTCTCCTAAAAATTGCTGAACTATGACCTATCACACAGAGTGCACTTTTATTCATATTTTTCTTCACTGTTTCTGAGCCTTACTGCGTTGAACCATCCATTTCTGTCTTTAATGCACTTTATATACAAGGAAAGGAGTGTGCCTGCGCACGGCCTGGATGGACTGTTCTCCCAGCACCCCCTCCCAGCTTGCTGCATTATAGCTACTTGCTTTTCTGGGATCAGGGTGTTATGGCAAAGCTGGAATTTTCCATTCTGCACCGTGAATGCAGAGAGACTCATTGTCAAACGATCGATATTTTCTTCCAAGCCTTGGAAACCCTGCAGAGGTTCAGCCTTGAGGAAATTATTTTTTCCCCACAAAGAGAACCCTTCATTATGAACTGATAATTAAAAAGCTGAAGCCTAATGTACTCCATGGTTTTCTTTCAACTCAGACTGTACATACAAAGCCAGCAATTTTCAGGACTGACTTTTCCAAGATACAGCATCTGAGTGAGAAAGAAAAGTGAAGTCACAAGGACTGCTTATTAGATAGGTCTAATAAAAGAGGAGAACAGCAGCTGTGGGGGATGTACATTACAAATTTCAGTACATTGTTTTAAAGAAAAACCTAAGAGAGCAAATGGAGATTTGTTGTGCCACTAATGGAAACATAAGCTGATCTCTCCCTCGTATCAGTTTGTATTGTGGTACTTTTATACTTGGCCAACGTTTGCTGGTGAAGGTCAGTGTAGCTGCATTATCCCATTTACAGCAGCAGGGAGCTGATCAGCTCTTGTAAGTGGGTTTGTCCCTGATTAGCTGCAGTGAGGAAAATCGGGATCCCACCAAGAGACTCAGGCCAGGAGTAAAAAATTGCTGGTTTCAGTGTCTGAACTGTGCCTGAAGCTGAAAGCTTGTTTAAAAAAAACTGGGGAGGGAGAGAGAACAAGGCAAATGTTTACTGCAGGAAAACCAGAGGTGCCTATGTGAGTAGGTAACTTTTAAAAAAATACTGATAACTTGTAAAATGAGAATCATGCAGCAATTCTTATAATAATAATAATAGATAGTAAAATAACATATTCAGATAAGAAAAAAGATTTTGAAATCTGTGGAATTACAGAGATGTAAAATATGCACAAACAAACATACAGTCGTCCTACCAGCACTTCATTACTGTCCTTCCCCTAACTTTTTTTCTCTGTAACGTGTCTTTATGGTACAACCTTAGTTCCATCTTCCAAGGTCCTTACCAGTTGTGACTCAAGCTGTACGCAGGAAAGGATTTGCTGAGCAGAAAAGGCCATAGGTAAGGAATGAGGGAAGACTTCGTGGAGTTGCTCCGGGGTTAATTGAAGTTTTCTGTCATCTACCATTTCTCATTGAAATGTGAACAGCAGGTAGTCTTCCCTGTCTTCTCTTTCCACTTTGGCGACGTCTTCAAACACAAAGCAGTCTCTCTTACACAACTTTTGGTAACTTGTCACCAGCTAATATGATAACAGCTCCTCCTGCCTTGCTGGGAGGCAAACAAGCATATTTTTGGAATAATTATCTTATCACATAAGCAGTGAAGCAGTGAAATGTTCTACTTCTGTTATGAGCTGCAATTTCCATTGTTTGCTAGAGGAACAAAAATATCATTGAATAATCTTTACAGCAATGAAAGAAATAAGAAATAGTACAGTCCATAAATTATACACTGCAATAAGTGCAGTGAAGCTTAGCAACAGCATAAAGGATCTTCTTTCTTTTAGAAAGTCTGTGTTTCCTTCATTAGTGTGAATATCTGAGTATGCCTTGGCCTCCCTGCATGCTACCGAGAGGACCAGCAAATTGTTCTGGAGGCCGTGAGCCTGATCTCAGTGATTTACCAGTATAAGTCATCAGTATCTCCACTAAAATCACTGGGGCCTAATTGTGGGGATTTGTAAGTTGACAAAGTTTCATTGACA